TGGAACCGAATGGGGAATTAGCTCTAGTCCTTACAAGGACTTTCCCAGTTGAATCTCCTGCAAGCTGGAACAGCAGACACAGGAGAAAATATTCTTCCCTCCAATAACTGGACAACACACAGTTTTGGAGTGTAAACAGGAACAGACAGAGCTGTGGTTTTATTGCTTCTTTTATACAGGTTTTTACACAATGTTACCACTGACAGGGTTTTGTGGCACAGCCAATCAAATACATTATAATACAGTTAAACACTCCCAGTTATGACAAACAAACCCTCCCCTCTGCCTGTTATATAATTAATGTACACAATGGGTTGATATAATTATCACAGGCAGTAAAATACAGTTTTTACACAATTCTTATAACTTCTAAAATATACATCCAATCTCCATAAAGTTACATATTATTAATCACTTCAAATATAAACATATCCAAAATTCCGACAATTCCCTTCAGTGGTTAAAAAGTTAGTTGGAAGTCCTTTTTTAGACCGAGGAGGGACAAATCAGCCAGTTCCAACTGCTGGAGAACAATGGGGGGGGGAGCGGACGAGGCACACCTTCCAATGGATTCAAAGGGGCAGAAAAAGTGTCTCAAAATCCAATAAGCCCAACCAATGTTTATAAAAGGCAAACTCTCCCAGGGGCCATAGTCAGAAGGTAGGAGGCGGGCAAACAGGCCCCTCCAAAAACCAGTGGCGAGGTCACTTTTGCCACAAGGGGGAATTAATGTTTCTTTTATTTCCTTGTTTTAATATAAATTCATTATTAAATTAATTATAATTAAATTAATACGCATACTGCATTCCACTATGCATGCACACACTACACCTCACTATGCATATACACTACACCCCACTGTAAACGCACGTACAAACTTAGTACAGACAAACTCACTCGTATACACAAACATGCTTACTACAGACAAGCTCACTGACACACACATGCTCATTACAAGCTCACTGACATAAACATGCTTACTACAGACATGATCACTGACACACACATACATGCTTACTATAGACGTGCTCACTGACACACACATACATGCTCACTGACACACACATACATGCTTACTGTAGACAAGATCACTAAAACATACATGCTCACAACAGCAGGCACACACACACACACACACACACACACATACAAAATATCACTTTCACTCACTAGCTGCAGTGGATTTGAAGTCTACCTTGCACTGCAGGCTACTGCTGTGGAAGACCTGGTAGGGGAGGACTTAATTCCCTGGCCTCTTCCTGCCCTGAGGTCACCAGCTTGCAGCTGGGGGGGCGGAGCTTGTGGTCGGGGTGGCAAAAAGCTCCCTCCCTGCAGTGCTCCCTCTGGCCGGCCCCAAGTGCTGCGGCCCACTTGGAAATTTCTCGGTATCTTGGTGGGCCAGTCCGGCACTGGATGGGTGGGAAGGTGAGGCTGCAAAATGCATCTTCACTTGTGCATCCAAAAAAGGATTGCGTATTGACTGGGGGCCCGTTGAATTGTCTGTCCACCCCGGATAATAACCTTTAAAGGAACATTATACGCAACAAAATAATGTTGGCTTAATCAAGTTGTTCTGGTATAAAATCAGGGATAAAAACATAAACTAGATCAAATAAAAGAAAATGTTTTTAATCCATGAAATCCCGGCATGTAAATATATCCCAGTATATAGTTTGCATAGGCTAAAACACTTTTTTTTTTACTTATCTTGCAAGATTTATAGTCAATGTTACCTGGGGAATTTAAGTCCAAAGCTGGATTGAAAAATACACCCATGGAGGAAGTAATATCAATTAGAGCAGAAACCAGTGATATTTCAACTTAAGTGTTTTAAAGTGTCCAATTGTGCTGCTAAACATTGCAGAGAAACCATAAGACTGTTCTTTGCTAATTATAGGTCAAAAGGCATTTAAAAACAGATTATACAACACTTAATGTGCATCTTTGATGTCAAGCATGATTTTGTGTCACTTTTCACTTTATAGATATGAAATTCCATCTAAACATTTTAATAATCAAATTTGTTGCATATGTAATAGTGAAAAATTAAGATTGATTTTTGTTACACTAATGGTGGTCAGAGGAAACCACAGGCACCTAGGACACCAAATGTCACCTAATCCATGTCTGTGCTCCCTGTTAAAAAAGAAAATGAAAAAAAAATTTTTTTTTAATTAAGTATATATTTTTGTGGTGTACATATATGGTTTGTTGATGACTTGTTCACTTTAAGTAAGCTTTTTCTATGATAATTAGTTTCTATGACAGTAAACTTTTCCGGATTCATTTTTTCTTCACTTAACTTTCTAATGATATAAATAAGCACTATTATAAGCAGCAATTTACTATATTTTAAATGCATTAATGTTGATAAATCCCCATTATTGAGGATTAATTATTGAGGACATGCCATGGGTGCAATTAGAAGCTGATAGCACCAAATGCAATCTACAAATCCTATCCTGGATCTCGAGAGACGCCAGCACACGATATCAACTCACAAACCTGTTCGTGATAGCAACACTCAAAACCTGGCATGAAAATAGCACCAAATTCTACATCATGACAGGCCTAGTCCCATGCTCCCTCTGAGAGGCAACCCTAACTTCCCGGCAGGAGACCAGGGCCCACTCCCACACCTGATGAAACACCGACCACTACTTCTTATAACGGACGTTCTAATCACACTGTTTGCGATTTGTCCGACAGCAGACTTCTTCCCAGAACAACCACTCACATTCCTACATACAATGGCGAGAGAACAAATATCACACTATGCCAGATCGATCCCACAAAAACCCAGCCTACTTTGAGACAAAACAGACTTTGAATCGCTCTGCCTGCAGGAACAGATGGCACCTAAATATCTCCTTGATCTATGCTTCACTGGTGACAAACCGATACCTCTTGACGCCACCCTACATCAGACAATGGGATGACGACCTTGATTAAACACTCACAGAGGCAGAATGGGACAAAATCGTCACACACATCAAAAAAATGCTGGGTATCTGCGTGACTGCAAGAAACTGCATATGAAGTTTTCACATGATGGTACATTACCCCTGTCGACCTACACACCCATGATTTACGATACCACATACCTACTAACGTTGTGGAGGGGAGAGAGGAACCTTCACCCACATCTGGTGAGACTCTACCCTTTATTAGGCAATCAGCTGAGTGATTAATGAAGTGACAGATGAAACTATGCCGCCGACAACGGCCCCATATCTCCTCCATCACACCACTATGCCGACACCGGCATATAAAGGATCAGTACTGCCGCAGCTTTTCAACGCCACGAAGGGGTTCATCCCCATATGCTGGAGACAATAAATCACGCCCCCCTCAAGCGATGGGTGGAGAAGATGGAAGACACAAGGAAATTCGAGGACCTAAAGGCGACCTCAGTGAAAGCCAGGGAGAGACACATACACACAACGATGGTTCTACTGGCTGAGACACATCTCCTCAGGCATGTACGACACCTGCACGGCACATAAACAGTATGTGAACAGATGAGACACAGATGGTGCGACAGGACTTAGGGGTCGCAGTGGGCTGGGGCGGCGACCGGGGGCGGAGCCCGGGAGGGTTTATTTTTCTTCTCCTCTAGTTCACCTCTTTCCTCTCACCTTTTCTTTTCGAACCATCTCTACAGACCCCAGACAGACACCGCCCGACATTCGCCATGGACCGAAACCCACAAATGCAACTTCCTTCATACCAAGGAATTGACAACTTGGCGCAGATGACACCTAGCACGCCTCGAGATTCAATACACACCTATCTAACTCACACAAATTCACCTACTGACTCCACCATATTTATACTATAGACAGCTATGCTACCCACAGCCCCACTATGAGCTGATCCAAGCTTACATCATCAATACAGCCAGTTAGATGATCCTGCAGGGAAGAGAGGGGAGGGGGGGGGGGCAACTGGAGAGATGAAGCAATAAGAAAGTAAAGAGCGAGCCTCTACAACAGCAATGCCAGAATCTTATATTATATGCAAGGTATACACACAGGGAAACTAGGCTAACAGGTCAATCACAACAACCATGGATTTAGAATATACTATGCCTCTGCAAAGGCAAATATCGAGGTACCACAGCTAAGCAAATATTGCACCCTAAACTGCTCCATAACTATGCATCACCTCCCCTACATGGGAAATTTGGTTCATACCCCATAATCACTGATCTAACTCCTAAGCTGAAACCATACCCTAAAAATTCCCTGCACCACCTATAATGCTTCCCCTGCATGGGAAACCGGTTTATCTTGTTGAATACTATGATAGAGTTAACGCAAATTTCGCCTCAGCGCAGGCAAACATCAGTATACCTATGCTTCACTATCACTGTTTACTATATTGTTAACCGCATTTGCACTATGTCCCCTGCGAGGGCACACTGTTTCTAAAACTGTCTTAATAAAAATGGATTTAACACAAAAATTTAATAATCACTATTTAGTAGCTATACAGTGGGACCTCGGTTTACAAATGTAATGCGTTCTCCAGGACGTTTCGTATTGCGAAAAATTCGTAAACAGAAACACGGTTTCCCATAGCAATGCATTGAAAACCAATTAATGCGTTCCGGAGGTGAGAAAAAAGTCAAATAAAGTATTTTATCTGTTCAAAACTTTTTATAAAGTGCACTTTAAAGGCATAAATACTGTACAGGGACATGATTAATCAAACAATAACATTTCAAACATCCAACTTTATGTTTTAAAACGTCACACATCAACTTTTAAAACATGGTAGACTGTTGGTTACATGTACAGTACACTTCAACTGTACATAAATCACACGTCAGCAGGGAAAACATGGAAAATTTCAAAACAATTTTAACACTTTTTGGAAGATGAGGAGGACGAGGGCAATTGGGCAGCACTAACACAAGCAGGTTCTTCTTCATGTCTAGGCTGTTTTTGTAGGAACCTTTCCATTGTCTTCTGCCTCTGGCACCTTTTAAGCATCCCTCAGAAAGGGGACATGATGTCTGTGTCAAAACTGCTCACAAGTCTGTGAGCTAGAGCCTTATCTGGGTGGTGCTGCTGTACAAAAGTCTGTAGGTTTACCCACATTTGGCATTCCTCCTTGAGTTCCGTGGAAGAGAGCTGTTCCACACTCATTTCCTCCTCCTCCTCAAATGCAGTCTGCTCCTCCATCGCCTCCTTCTGCAATTCCACCAGCTCCTCGGCGGTTAGGTTACGGTCGTGTTCCTCCACCAGCTCATCCTCCTCAGTCACCTCCAGGCCCGTTGTCCTCCCCAAGGAAACAATTTCCTCCAACACTGTTGACTCTGGTGCAGGTGCAGAAGCACTGGAGGCAGGTTTCACAACACATTCTGGCCACAGGTTGCGCCAAGCAGAATTTAGGTTTGTCTGGCTGACCCCGGCCCAGGCAATGGTGATAATCTGCAGACAGCTCACAATGTCAAAATGCTCTCTCCAAAATTCATTGAGGGTGAGGCTTGAGCGATCTGTCATCTCAAAGCATCGCTGGAAAAGCTCCCTTGTGTAGAGTTTTTTAAAATTGGAGATGACCTGCTGGTCCATTGGCTGGAGTAGTGGGGTGGTGTTAGGCAGAAGGAACATGACCTTGATGAAATTAAAGTCCTCCAGCAAGTCTTCCTCGAGGCCTGAAGGATGGGCAGGGGCATTGTCCATGAGCAGCATGGCCTTGAGTGTCAGGTTATTGTCCACAAGGTACAGCAGGACCAAAAACCGCATTGACCCACTTCACAAACAAGAGGCATGTGACCCAAGCCTTTGGATTAGACTGCCATAAAACGCTCAACTGCTCCTTGTTCACCTTGTGTTTCTTGAAGGCCCATGGGTTCTCTGAATGGTAGACAAGCAGGGGCTTGATCTTAAGGTCCCCACTGGCGTTGGCGCAGAACAGGAGGGGGAGACGGTCCTTCATCGGCTTGTGGCCAGGCAATGAGGTCTCCTCTTCTGTGATGAAGGTACGCTTTGGCATCCTCTTCCAGAAGAGTCCAGTCTCGTTGCAGTTGAAGACCTGCTAAGGAAGGTAGCCCTCTGAAACTATGACCTCCAGGAACTCCATAGCAAATTCCTCAGCTGCAGCAACATTGGAACTTGCAACCTCTCCATGCCTGACCACACCGTGGATGCCAGATCTGGTCTTGAACCTTTTGAACCACCCCTTGCTGGCCTTGAAGCCTTCTGCATCTGCTGACATTCCTGGCTGTTGTTTGAGGAGGTCAGCGTGCAAGGCCTTGGCTTTTTCGCAGATGATTGCCTTGGTCACTGAGTCCCCTGCACGCTGCTTCTGTTCAATCCAGAGCAGGAGCAACTTTTTGACCTCCTCCAGAACAGGTGGCCGTTGCTTGGAGATCCTGGTGACTCCCTTGGCTGTATCTTATCTTCTCTTTCATTTTTAGGATTGTACCGATTGTGGATGCACTCCTTCCATCCTCTTTGGCAAGGTCAGTCAATCGCATTCCTCCTTCATGCTTCCTGATGATTTCTTTCTTGTCCTCAAGCAGAATCATCTCCTTCTTCCTCTTCCCAGCTTCTGCTGCTTTCTTGGGTGCCATGACACCACCGTCACTAAGTATGCAAAAAAAAATGCTTTACACCCACATGATCTGGCATGGAAACCCCAGTAAAAGACATGCACAGCACATGAGCTGTAACAGGCATGCACAGCACATGAGCCGGCATGGAAAACAACCCCACATTGCAAAACACACAGTAACAGGCATGCACAGCACATGAGCTGTGACAAGCATGCACAGCACATGAGCTGGCATGGAAAACAACCCCACAATGCAAAACACACAGTAACAGGCATGCACAGCACATGAGCTGGCATGGAAATCACCCCACAATGCAGAACACACAATAAAAGGCATGCAAACAACTAAGCTCAGCTCCCTACCTTTCCACTCTTGAGATGCGCCAAAAAGGCTCCAAAACCTGCTACAAATGGCTCCAAAAGGCTCCACAACTTGCTGCAAATGGCTCCAAAAGGCTCCAAAACTTGCTGCAAATGGCTCCAAAACCTCTCCACACTCACGTGCTACCCAGATTCCAGTATGCAGGGGGTGGAGCTATAAACCGGGACACTTGTTTCGTATTGTGAAAAACATTCGTAAACCGAGGCTTTTTTTATGAATTCTCATTCGTAAACCGAATTTTCCGTTTACCGAGGCGTTCGTTAACCGAGATTCCACTGTACTTCCAATGAAAATATACATTCAGTTAATTATGCATTCTTTAATTGGGGATATATCTAGAAACAGTTTGCAAAAGTTACATATCAACGAAACAATGAAAGGGCACTTAACTATAGATATGTTTTCGTATATATAGGTCCAGGCCCTTGCATACATTTTTGAAGCTTGTGCATAGCATCAGACATGACTCCAACCAATTAATGTAAGAAAGGCATAAGGTTGTGCCATTTAAGTTTGGTGTTCTTGAGAATGAGGAGAATGTTGTCTAGTGAAAATAATGTTGCATTCAGAATGATGCCACCAGGTATTTGAGTTTGGTGCTCTATGTCTGTAGAAGAGAATGTTCCCTTCCTTCATAATTGAATTGATGCAACTACACTCAAGTGGATTCAAAGTCACGGGACCTTGCAAAAAATGATGTGGCTGCTCCACATTTTGGATGTAAGTTCCTCGTTTGACGTGGATGCACCCATATTGTCAATAGAACCTGTGATCGAATTAGCGAAGATGCATCATTAAAGGTATATTTCCAAACAATTACACAGTAGTAGCCTAAACACTGAGTGGTTTAATGTCAGGTGGCAGCACTGAATTGCCTGTATATGAGACACCAGGCTGGGTCATGAGACCCAGAGAGTTAGCCAATGCACCTCTAATATTCCCCTATTCCATGTATCAATTGAAGAGCGTTCATAGTAACTATTGGAGGGCCTATTAGCAATTAGCAATTCACTCAGGCATTGATTAACATGAATTTAATCTGTTTGTTGCAGCTGCAGTGAATTTAGTCACTAATATAGTATTTACTTTGAACTGTTCTATTTGTCTTTTATTTTAAATATAATATCAGCCACTATGGTTTATTGTATTCAAATACTTAGTTTTTCTTTATTTCTTGTGTCTTGTTAAAACCAGATGCATGGAAAATATAATAAAGAGTTCAATCAAAAATAACAGGAAAAAATAATGGACCAACAGTGAAGAATGCAAATTAGAAGTTCTATAAACTGAACTGCTTGGGGAAACCTGAAGAAACTTCAACTTCATGCTGCTTCTACTTCTTCACAACCTATTGCTCATTACAATTCATATAATAAAACATTTCATTGCACATTGGTATATTAAACTACCACTGCTAGGGCTGAACTATGCTTAAAGTCGACATTTGAAACTAATTTTAGAAACTCTTGGAAACCATTTTTTAATATAGTTTACTAAAATAAAAAGAGATAAATGGGAACATGTGCTTTCAAAACACAAAGAAATGCTATTTTAAAAACATAAAAAATGGAAAAGGAACTTTACGATGACTACCATGATTTATTTATAAATTTATTTTAAACTGTAAGTGTCTAGTAAATGTGAACAGGTAATTGTATATTTATATATTAAACAACACAAATGTGTAATATATTAATCATTTTACCTATATTTTATTTAAGTTATTATACAGTAAGGGAAAAAAAAGTATTTGATCCCCTGCTGATTTGGAATATTTGTCCACTGACAAAGAAATGATCAGTCTATCATTTTTAATGGTAGGTGTATTTTAACAGTGAGAGACAGAATAACAGAAAAAAAAACACATGTAAAACAGTTAGAAATCGACTTGCATGTCAATGAGTGAAATACGTATTTGATCCCCTATCAATCAGCAGGATTTCTGGCTCCCAGGTATCTTTTATACAGGTAACAAACTGAGATTAGGAGCACTCTCTTGAAGAGAGTGCTCCTAATCTCAGTTCGTTACCTGTATAAAAGACACCTGTCCACAAAAGGAATCAATCAGATTCCAACCTATCCACCATGGCCAAGACCAAAGAGCTGTCCAAGGATGTCAGGAACAAGATTGTAGACCTACTTAAGGCTGGAATGGGCTACAAGACCATCGCCAAGCAGCTTGGTGAGAAGGTGACAACAGTTGCTGCGATTATTCGCAAATGGAAGAAACACAAAATAACTATCAGTCTCCCTTTGTCTGGTGCTCCATGCAAGATCTCACCTCGTGGAGTTTTAATGATCATGAGAACGGTGAGGAATCAGCCCAGAACTACACGGGAGGATCTTGTTAATGATCTCAAGGCAGCTGGGTCCATAGTCACCAAGAAAACAATTGGTAACACACTACGTTGTGAAGGACTGAAATCATGCAGCGGCCGCAAGGTCCCCCTGCTCAAGAGCATACATACAGACCTGTCTAAATTTTCCAATGAACATCTGAATGATTCAGAGGAGAACTGGATGAAAGTATTGTGATCAGATGAGACCAAAATCTAGCTCTTTGACCTCAACTCGCCGGGTTTGGAGGAGGAGGAATGCTGCCTATGACCCCAAGAACACCATTCCCACCATCAAACATGCAGGTGGAAACATTATGCTTTGGGGGTGTTTTTCTGCTATGGGGATGTCAGGAAACAGACAGGGATCCAATACGCAGAGTGCGCACAGAAGGAGGTACGTATACCGGACCTTAGAATGGCCGGACTAACGTAAGGACAAAGCAAGAATAGTCAAAAGGTAAACCGAGGTCAAGGGAGCCGGAGGACAGGTAAGCGAGATACAAGCCGAGTCAAAGGAGAGGAGAGGACAACAGGACAAAAGACAAGCAAGGGTCAAAACCAGAAACACTAGATAAAGAACGCGCTGAGTGACTAGCAAGCTAGAACCACGACAGGGCAATGAGCAGTAGTAAAGGTTTCCTTTAAATACCCTGTACCTAAATAGAGACCACGCCCCCAAAAGGTCCGGAATAGCGGTTCCCGGCACTTTATGCAAATGCCGACGTCATGACGTCGACGCTAGCCGTCGCGTCATAAAAGGGGGAGGAGCTAGCGCGGCCGGCGCGAAAACGGCCGAAATATGCCGAAATGCTAGGGGAAGGGAGCCCCTAAGCAGAGAGGATGTCCTCCCTGGATACATCACCAACAGGTACCCTGACAGTACCCCCCCTTCTAGAAACGCCCACCGGGCGGATGGGACCTGGCTTAGAAGGAAAACGAACGTGGAAGGCCCGTAGAAGACGAGGAGCATGCACGTCTATACCAGGAACCCAAGACCTCTCTTCTGGACCATAACCTTTCCAGTCTATGAGGTATTGCAGCTTCCCCCTAGAAATACGAGAATCAAGGATGGACTTGATGATATATTCCTCCTGACCATCCACACGGACCGAGGATGGAGGAGCAGAGCGGGAGGAAAATCTGTTACAAACAAGAGGTTTCAATAACGACACATGAAAAGAGTTAGGGATGCGTAGAGTAGGAGGTAGATCCAGCAAATAAGAAACCGGGTTGATCCTCCTCAGTACCCTGTAAGGACCAATGTAACGAGGAGCAAACTTCAAGGAAGGAACTTTCAGGCGAATGTGTCTGGTACACAACCAGACCCTATCCCCCGGAGAAAAAATAGGAGCAGGACGTCTACGCCTATCAGCATGTGACTTAAACACCGCGGAACTACGTTCAAGAATTTGTCGAGTCTGATCCCACAACTTTCTCAGGTTGGCTATATGAATATCAACCGACGGTATACCCTGGGAAGGAGACACCGACGGAAGAACAGTAGGGTTAAAGCCATAGTTCAAGAAAAAGGGGCTATTATGAGTGGAACCACAAACAAGGTTGTTGTGAGCAAACTCCGCCCAAGGAATCAGACCGACCCAGTCATCCTGGTGTTCAGAAACAAAACAACGTAGATATTGCTCAATTTTTTGGTTAGTGCGTTCGGCTGCTCCGTTAGATTGAGGATGATAGGCCGAAGAAAAATTCAGTTTGATGCCCAACTGTGAACAGAAGGATCTCCAAAAACGGGAAATAAATTGGGAACCCCTGTCTGACACAATCTCATTGGGAATACCATGTAAACGGAAAATTTCTCTAGCAAATATCACGGCCAGTTCGGGGGAGGACGGAAGTTTAGGCAAGGGAATGAAATGAGCCATTTTAGTAAACCTGTCAAGGACCGTGAGTATAACTGTATGCCTATTGGAAGCTGGTAGATCAACAATAAAATCCATAGCCAAACAAGCCCAAGGTTTGTTGGGAACGACTAAGGGCTGCAATAAACCACAAGGGAGATCCCGCGGAAGTTT